TCCTTCTAATGCAAGACAATGCTAGACTTCATGTGGCTGGAGTGTGTCAGCAGTTCCTGCAAGACGAAGGCATTGATGCTATGGACTGGCCCGCCCGTTCCCCAGACCTGAATCCAATTGAGCACATCTGGGACATCATGTCTCACTCCATTCACCAACGCCACATTGCTCCACAGACTGTCCAGGAGTTGGGAGATGCTTTAGTCCAGGTGTGGGAGGAGATCCCTCAGGAGACCATCTGCATCAAGAGCATGCCCAGGCGTTGTAGGGAGGTCATACAGGCATGTGGAGGCCACACACACACTACTGAGCCTCATTTTGACTTGTTTTTAAGGACATTACATCAGAGTTGGATCAGCCTGTAGTGTTTTTTTCCACTTTAATTTTGAGTGTAGCTCCAAATCCAGACCTCCATGGGTTGCTAAATTTGATTTCCATTGATAATTTTTGTGTGATTTTGTTGTCAGCACATTCAACTATGTAATGAACAAAGTATTTAATAAGAATATTTCATTCATTCAGATCTAGGATGTCTTATTTTTGTGTTCCCTTTACTTTTTTGAGTAGTGTATATAATGTATTCCTGACACTTATGCAGAAAATGTGACTTACCCAAACTTTTCACATCTTATTGATGGTCTTTTGTCCCTCTCATAATTCTCTATTTGAAACCATCTTCTGTTTCAACCATCCTTACATAAGATTCTTCTTTTGTCCACAATAAATCCAATTTAATAAATAAATAGTTTAGAAGGAAGGCAACAGGCCTTGCAAATGCCCATTGATAGCTTTTGGAGTGCTGAAAGAGATAAGGTAAACAGGACATCTAATTTTAGATTTGTGGATAACAGTGAAATTAATTATTTTTATATGTGCATATTAGTGCATATTTCAGGGAAATCTGTATTCTTCTCCTCCCGTGTTTTGGTAATGTTTTCTATGTTTAAGAATAATGAATAAATGCTAATTTATTCTATGTATTATAACTATTAACATTCTATTAAATACAGAGCAAAAGACCTTTACAGTAGAAGAAGCTGTGGAAACAATTGGTTTTGGGAGATTCCACATTGCACTCTTTATGATCATGGGTAGCACTGGTGTAAGTTATTTTTATTAATATTGCACTGAAATTTATCATCATTTCCTAAAACTTTTCCCCTTTGCAGGAGTGGCCTCAGTTTTATTGGTTGCTGAGAAGCATTTGAATTTCTTTCAAATTCCATGGTATTGTGCAAGGTCCATTGTTCTATGATACCAGAGAATTTGTTGCTCTTTTATTATAGTCTTCCCCGCATCATTTGTTGTCCACAATTCTAGATTAGGAAAAGTGATGTAGGAATTGTCTCTGAGATTTAATGGAGACCTAGAAATCTTGGAGGGGATGAGCAGGCTGGAGAGATTTCCATGGTGGAGGTGCAGGCATTCATACAGCCCTCCACACTTTGGAATATCCTTTTTGCACCACATGGTGTGAAGATGAAAAAAAGATTGCTTTTTTTCTTCAAAAGGCTGATGTTTCCTTGAGAAAGAAGTAGAAAATGTTTTGCTTCTCATCCAAGAAGCTTCATCAGTTCTGATCAGTGGTGGGATTCAAATTGTTTTACTACCGGTTCTATGGGAGTGGCTTGGTGGGCATGGCGTGGCTTGGTGAGTGTGGCAGGGGAAGGATACTGCAAAATCCCCATTCCCTGCTTTCCAGCTCCGTTCTCCTGTGTAGGGCAACAAAAGAAGACCCAGCCGATCAGTTGGGACTCCAGAGGCAGAGAATAGATGGGGGCGGGGCCAGTCAGAGGTGGCATTTACCAGTTCTCTGAACTACTCAAAATTTCCACTACAGGTTCTCCAGAACTGGTCAGAACCTGCTGAATATCACCCCTGGTTCTGATGGTGGGGGACTGATGAAGCTTCCTGGATGAAAAACAAAATGTTTTCTTCTTTTTCCTTAAGGAAAAAAACAGTCCAGTTGCCTTTTGAAGAAATAAAGCACCTTTGAGACAGCTATGACCTGGTCCTGGATGACCGAGAATTTCCACAGACATGATTTTAAGATGCAGAACATTTCGGCATAATACTATATTTTGATGAAATTTATTGTGCTAACACTTCCAAGCACATTGGCTGCTCTTCTCTGTCTTCTTAACACTTCCTTTAGGGATATTCTGGGACATTCTGGAGTATGAGTCAGAAAGTTATTTGCAGAAAAGCTCTCAATTTTCACCCTTTCACATCTCCTCTGCCCTCTAAAAATCTAGGCTTCTTCCGAGTTATGCTAAGTGCTAGCTAATGTTCAGGCAGTGTGTAACAATGTGGTTCTGACTTTTCCAACAAGGAAGTATGGGGATCCATCAGGCAGCTGTAACAAGGAGGTTGAAGGGCAGGGATTGAAGATAGAGACATGGCCAAGGATTGGAGTATCTATTTATTTTGAATATATTTAATCCAGGGGTGGGCTGCTATGGGTTTGGGTGAATCCATTGCTAATGTTATGACTGGTTCGGCAAACCGCCAAATCCCATCCATGACTGGCCCCGCCCATCCCTCTCCTCCCCTCCCCTCTCAGGAATCTCCACGTGGCCCATTTTGGATGCGAGGTAAGTGCAGGGTCCATTCAGAGGCTCGGAGAGGGGGGGAAATGGGCCTCTCGGAAGTCCAGAAACAGGCCTGTTTCCAGCCTCTGGAAGGCCTCCGGAGCCCAGGGGAGGCAGTTTTCACCATCCCAGAGGCTCGAGGAAAGCCTCCAGAGCCTGGGGAAGGTGAAAATGCCCCTCCCCCCACCGTTGTGACTAGGCTGACTAGGCTACACCCACCATGGCCATTTCCACCCAGCAACTCAGCAAAGAACCGGTTGCTGAAATTTTTCAAGGCCACCCCTGGTTTAATCTCTATGGTCACTAGCACTCTCTGAGTTTGGAACTGTAGGAAAACCAGGAGTTGCAGACAGTATCATTTCAGAATATTGAAATAACATAGAGGGTTTTTTCCCCAATTAAAACTTTTTTGTTAGTTTATCAAAGTATAAAATACAAAGAAAAAAAAAACATGGAAAATTAGGAAAAGAGGAAGGGAAATGGGAGAAAAAAAGAAAAAAAGGCATCAACTTCAGACTCTCTTTAGCACAGTCAAAGGTAACAACATTACAACTATAACTTTTTGCCTTTACATAGCAGTATGTACAAGCCATTTCTATAACAATAAGTCTGTCTAACTTACAAAAATATAATCAACGTTTCATTTTTTCCCCCTCATTGCAAACATAAAATCCAGAAGCAATTTCAAACTAATGACAACATTTAATATAATTTCTTATTTAGATAAAAGAAACATTTTAACCATCTCAGCTTCCCCTGGGGAATAATATATTATTCATTCTCATATTTTCAAATCTAGTCCATAATGTTTTGCCAACTTTAAAATATTGTTCTGGATTACTTATAAAAACCCGGCAAACTGCATATACATACATCCTCATTTTATACATGCAAAACTAACTTAAAGCTTTCTAACAATACATATATTATTTTCTTAAAAAAATCCATCCTAATTAATTAAACCATATTTAAGTCACTCCATCCAGTTTATCTTCATAGAATAGAGTCTTTTTCTCCTCGGGAGAGTCTATCATAGCATAGAGTTTATAATAGTACTATACAGGCTTGGAGAAGTAGAATGAGAATTGAAAATTCCCTCTTTGTGTCTTGGGTATGTTGAAAATGATATATATTTTAAATATTGTTTCATATGTTCATCCCCAAAGGTGGTAGAAGCTATGGAAATCATGCTGATTGCTGTAGTGGGTCCTGTCATCCGATGTGAATGGCAGCTTAAAAATTGGCAAGTGGCTTTAGTGACAACAGTGAGTAGAATTTCTACAATCACATGATCATTGGACTAACATTGGGGAGAAGGTATTGGGACCATTATGAGACAAGATAAATCATGTTCCTCAGTCAAATGATTCTGGTCACATTAAAACAGAAGTGTCAAACTCAAGGCTGGATCCCATGGGCTGGATCTGGCCCATGATGTGCTCAGATCCAATTCGCTGAGCTGTCCTGGAAAATGTAAAGGGCCAGCCCATGTCACTTTGGCCTGGTCTACCCGTGTCGCTTCAGCCCAATGTGAAGAGGAAATATCGGGCCAGTGTGGCTTTGGCCTGGTCTACCCAATATGAAAAGGAAACATGCCAACAGTTTGGGGAGCAAGCTGGTCAGACCCATCCAGTCAGCCATGCCCGCCTCGCCCCCCCCCAAGGTCAACCACAACCCTGATGCAGCCCTCAATGAAATTGAGTTTGACACCCCTGCATTAAAACATCAGCATTAGTTGCTTCATCATTATTCCATTTTTTTCTGTGCTTATATAATTTTCTTATTCAGATTCCAAAAATCCCTTGACCAGTCATGGATGTCTTAGCATAAATGTCTTGGATCAACCTTGGCTCCAAAATCAAACCAAACCAGGTCTCCCAAATAAATAGTCATATATGTATATTCATCTGTTCAGCTAAGAATATTTGTGATTATTCTTTCCATTCCTGGACTTGCTTTTCAAATTACTGTATGGCTATAATAATTTTCATTAGTGAATTTACTGAACTGTAAAGATAGCCTTTAACTGACCTTCAGCTACTGAAACTGAAAACTTCAACCTCAGTGGAGAACTGAGGGATCAGTAATTGGATAAGGGGGTCTGAAGATGGGCTCTTGACATTTAAGAAGACCCTGCACTATATCAGGTTCCTTCTTGTCTGTTTGGAAGCTATCATTTCCTTTGTCTTAGTGACACCAACAATAGAAATCTGGTGACTCCCATGCTGATTTTCCATATTATTTTAAGAGCATTAATAGTTGGCCAAATAAAAATTTGGGGTGATACAGGTAGAGATTCAGATGTTGGAAGACAGAGCTAAATGTGCTTTAATGTTAGTTTCTCATTCATTTGTGTATCAAATCACTGTCTGATCTTGCTTGGAACTGTACATGATGACTTTTTTTCAGATGGTATTTTTTGGCTACATGATGGCTAGTGTAACATTTGGAATGCTAGCAGATAAATTTGGTCGTTGTAAGGTAAGTGTTTTTCTTTTACTGTTCTGCTTAAATTTTTATACTAATTTTATTATCATGTTCAGTTACACACATTAAAAAACTAATACAAACTGAAAAAGTATAAAAGAATGAAAAGATAGCAAATACAGGGAAAAGATATAGTAAAAAAATATATGGTTAGTCCTCAACTTACAACATTCAGTTAGTGACTTTTCAAAGTTACAATGGCACTGAAGAGTGATTTAGGAATTTTTTCACACTTATCACCCACCATTACAGCATCTCCATGGCCACATGATCAAAATTTGGACTCTTGTCAACTGGATCATATTTTTGACAGTTGCAGCTGTCCCAGGGTCATGTGATCAGTTTTTGCGACCTTTGAACAAGCAAAGTCAAAAAGGAAACCAGATTCACTTGACAATTGTGTTACTAACTTAATTACTGTGGCAAAAAAGATGGTAAAATACTCACTTAACTATCTTTCTTGGCAAAAGATTTGAGGCTCAATTGTGGCCGTAAGTTGAGGACTACAATACCTGTATGAAAAAATCACTTCCCCCTTCATCATAGCAAGTACAATTTCAGTAACTTGTACTTTCTCTGAAAATCTTCTTCCTACATATGCTATAGAGCACTGCACACCAGAACAATTAGACACAAGAACAGTTTCCCCCCGAAATCAAACAAACAATTGCCAAACAAATAATTCTCTCAACACTGTTCAACTATTTACAAAGTCTGCACTACTATTACTATTAATCTTCCCATCACTCCTTATCACCCATCCCCTCCCACTTGTGACTGTATGACTGTAACTTTGTCGCTTGTACGATTTATATTGACTGTTTCCTAGTATGATTTGATTGTTTATTGTACCCTATGACTATCATTAAGTGTTGTACCTTATGATTCTTAACGAATGTATCTTTTCTTTTATGTATACTGAGAGCATTTGCACCAAGACAAATTCCTTGTGTGTCCAATCACACTTGGCCAATAAAGAATTCTATTCTATTCTAGTCATCTCTTATCATCTCTTACAAACAAATTCTTAACCTTTTCATTTGGTCATGGTCAACAAAAGTTTATTAAAGACTTTCAGAAACAACAACATATATATTTTAAACTTGATCAAATAAACATTCCCTTTGATTTTAACAATCTTGTTCTTTAATCGTTTTAAATATCTGGAACCTGATTTTTGTTCATTTTTTCTTTGTCTCTCTTCAAATAATCCTTTTTTATTTCAGCAAGTCTCTTTTGTAAACACAAAATAAGAAAATTATCCAAGCCAGTTTATTGATTTTTATTTGTGTCTCCCTTTTAATTAAGACTTCAGGCAGTTTAGTCTCAGTCTTATCCAGTAAAAGCTGTTCCTCTTCTATATCCTCATTTAAAACCAGTTTACTTAGGATGTCAGATACTTTTAAGATTAGCTTCTGAGTCCGCTGTTCAGAAATATTCTCCGAAAGTTAAAATATTTTGCTCCATTCTGTATTAGTGAGTCAAAATTAATTGTTCTTTTTTCTTATAGTCTTTAATTTTTTCTGTTTCTCTCTAATGTCCAATTTTTATCTTATAATTTCTTTCTAAACAACAGTATTTTTGCAAGAGAAGGTTTCTTGTAATTAATTTTAAAATTATTTGAGGAGACTGTGTTGGTTATGTTTGCCACTTTGATTGATTTGTAAAAAAGAATAAAGATTGGATGCAAATAGTAATTACCTCTGGACTCTTAACTATAACTTTATAAAATCAAGATTCTAATCATGCTTTTGCTGTTTATTCCCCCTACCTCAATTCACCTGATGAATGTTACAAAACTTGTTGATTCAAAGATTCTTAACAGTTAAGAAAACAATTAAAATGCAATTTCTAAAATGATTAAAAATCATTTTTAGCTCAGCCTTTAGTCCATATAGGCTTTATTATGACTATGAACTTAAATGGAATCCTTTGACTTCCATCCTCTCCATTCATGAGCCAATGGCACAAACCTCAGTTCTGCAATTTATTTAGGAGTTCAGAGTGCATGTGGTTAATCTCACAATCTCTCCTTTCTCCAGAAAGATTTCATGGGCCAGAACTTGACTTCTGGTCACTGTTCTCTGTCACAGCGCATCCTTCAAGGATGTCCAACTCATCATGTTTTTACTGGAAGTTCTCATATTGCTCTACTTATATGGTATCAGCATTAACCTTGTAAGGTTCTTTTCTTGAAATAGAAAATTGTTTCTTGATATAGAAAATCTTTTCTTGATGTAGAAAATCAACAGCTGTTGGACGAATTCCACAGAGAAGCATGCCGAACTCAGATTATTTCACTTTTTATACTTTCTCATATAACAAATAAGTCAATATAAAGTTTTTCAAATTTGGCTACAAATTTTGGCTACAAAATATAATGTCATTTTTATCATAGGCCAATAATATAAAAGTATATGTTCTAGCAGTGTTCTTGTTTTGCTCGATTTTACAGTTTTTCACTTCTCTATTTTCTTAACCTTAAGCATACATACTGTATATGTATGGGTTCCTTCCCTTACAATGGCTTCCTATGTGCTGAAGAAAGCATAAGCAAGAATATTTTTTTATGTGCTGAAGCAAAGTTCTTTTATGCTGAATGGAGTATTCATTCGCTTCTCCTTAGTTCCCCTCACCATACTAAAATGCATACATTTTTTGCTACACTCATCTATATACACATACATTTATTTGTGCATATATTGTACACATACAACAAATCAACATCTGAAGCTGTGGAATTTCCGGTTTGTCGGCTTTGCGAGCGGTAGGGATTCGCGAAGCTGCTCGATCCCTGCCGCGCTAGCCGTTTTTGGGGCTCCGATCCAAAAGGGTGCGGAGCAAGGCTGCCCTGCAGGGGCAGCTGAAGGTAGGGGGATCCGGGAAAGGGTTTGGGGGTGCTGCAGACCCCCTCCCTAGCTGGCAGAACCTCCTTTTACCAAGACGGTGCAGCGGCAGTCCGTAATGGCCGCCACAAAGAAGCCGGCAGCTGGGCAAGTATGCGCTGGAGGAAGAGGAGAAAGTTTTTAAAAGTGAAAGTCTTCTTGGTCGACCCAGGACTCTAAGATATATCTAATTTAATTCCTGAAAATGATGGCTTTTCGGATGATTCTTTCCACAAGAGAAAATAAGCGGCAATTCTGAGGTGCTGAAAGGAAAGTTTACTCTCCCCCCCGACGGAATTAATAAATGGATATTGAGAAACCTGTTTTTTTTTCCAGGTAAAACTAGCTTTTTGGGATAAGTCGGAAGGGAGAGGACAAAAAATATATTTATCTGGTTGGATTTTGTTGGAGGAGATGCCTTAAGGATTTGAAAATAGAAATAAAATCTTAATAAGGCTTCAAAACACAGATTTGAATTTTCTTTTTTCCTTTGTCTGATACTACCCCTGGAAGAGAAAGGGGGAATTTTGGCTTGGCTTGGATTGATTGAGGATTGTGGACTTTGGGATTGTCTTATTTTTCTTTTGGAATATTTTGGTTGGTGTGAGAAGAAAGAGGGAAAAAAGAAAAGAAAAGATCTATAATGGCTTTTTCTTTTGAGGAATTGAGGGATGAATATGAGCAAACAAAAGCAGCCTGTAAAGATGGTATGGAAAAAGCTTTTCTTTTTTTAGAAATGGCGTTGGTTAACTATGAACAGACAATACAGATGGAAGCTGAAGAACAACAAGAAGAAGATGAAGACGCCATCTTCAATGAATCCCAAAATTCATCTAAGAAAGAAGGAAGGAAGAAAGCGAGGAAAATGAAGGATTTAAGATCTAAAAAAACATTTAAGAAAGAGAAAAATATGATGCAAAATAAATACAATGATAGCAAACAAGAGAAAAAGGGAATACAACAGAGAAGGGATGCCGGCAAGACAGAGGTTAGAAGAAGGGGGGGTAGGAAGATTTGGTGGGGGAAGAAAGAAAGGGGAAAGGCGGAGAAAAGCCACAAAGTTTTAAAATTAGATGGGAAAAAAGGAATCTTTTTTAGGGATAATGGGTAAAGCATAAATTTTTTTAAAAAAAGATTCTGCAAGGTACACAAGATGGTATTGTAACATTTGTATTAGAAATAGAAAATTAGAATGGCTTAAGAGTTAATAAGAAATTAAAATGTTGAAATGTTTAATAATGATTGATTTTTAAAATGTAATAAAATATTGAAGGGAAAGGCAATGAGAATGCTATAAGATTTATTATTTAGATTTATTATTTAACTACGTATTTAGGAGGATATTATGTATTTAAACATTTTTGATTTCTTACTCTGTTTTTATTGTTACTAAAAGTAAAAATTAGTAGATAGAATGTACCAAGCAGAATCAAATTGGGTATTAGGTGTTATTTTAAATGTTAATCTAATTAATTTAGGGAGAGGATAGAAAGGCATCATACTCTGATTAGTGATTTCAGGAGAAATTCCTTTTTTTTTCATTATAAGGAATGAGATAGAGGGATAATAAAGGATGGGCAAAAGATACAAATATAATGATTTAAATTAAGATGGATTGAATAAGATAGAATTATGAAGAGTGAAATGTGTGGAGAAGTTTATATAGAAGATACAGAATGGTAAATAAAATAAGTAATGATCTGTAAGATGAGCATGAATATAATTAAAGCCCATATAAAGAGAGGCACCTGGGGCCAAGTTACTTTACTAAAAGATTTTTTATATGTATGTTTGTGTCTGTTTATGTCTTTGAGAGTATTGGTGAAACCTTGTAGAAACATAGAAAGAGAGTGACGATAATCAAGTCAGAAAGAAATAGATGAAATAATATAGAAATGTATTGTATAAGATAAGGTTTTATCTGACTTGTTAAATCTATAATGGAAAAAGGTTCAAATATGTAATGGTTGATGATGATTTGTTTGTTTTTTGAAATTAATAAAACTTGCTTAAAAAAAAAATAAGTCAATATAAAGTTTTTCAAATTTGGCTGCAAATTTTGGCTACAAAATATAATGTCATTTTTATCATAGGCCAATAATATAAAAGTATATGTTCTAGCAGTGTTCTTGTTTTGCTCGATTTTACAGTTTTTCACTTCTCTATTTTCTTAACCTTAAGCATACATACTGTATATGATGGGTTCCTTCCCTTACAATGGCTTCCTATGTGCTGAAGAAAGCATAAGCAAGAATATTTTTTTACATGCTGAAGCAAAGTTCTTTTATGCTGAATGGAGTATTCATTCGCTTCTCCTTAGTTCCCCTCACCATACTCAAATGCATACATTTTTTGCTACACTCATCTATATACACATACATTTATTTGTGCATATATTGTACACATACAACAAATCAACATCTGAAGCTGTGGATGTGCTGCAAACACTTTGAATGTAAATATGGTGCCACCATTCGCTTTAAAGGTTCACTTACTGAAGTGAAGGACAAAAGCTTCAATGATCCACAAGGAAAAGCTCTTAAAACCTATTTATTTTCCTTTGGAGCTTTCTGCATTCTCTCTCTCTCCCTCTCCCACTCTCTCTTTCTTCTTGCTCTCTTTCACTACTTTTGAAATATTCACAAATATTTCTTTATAAATACATCATTCATCATTTTTCTCTTATTTTTTGGAGCAAACACTCTTTTATATGCATATTTTCTTATCTACAACCTCATCATTCCACTAAATATCTTTTTTTATACCTCCTGTCAGCAAAACTACATAGACTTCTGAGGCATTTTGTAACTTAATTCCTTTCACTTTGTCCCTTAAGAGTTTCCATATTATTTTTCATTGCGTCCTCATTCATTCTGTAGGAACATTTATTTATTTCCTTCCCACCCCTCTTCCAGCAGTTGTGCTTTTATTCTTGTTTCTTTTGCTTGTTTTGTTTTCTTCCATGTCTATTTTTTTCCAAACTCCAAGTTGATAGTACTGTACCTTTTAGATTTATAGCATTTCTTTGCCATATGAAAGTTGGCTGGGTGACTTTGGGCCAGTTACACTCTCTCACAGATATATTCATTATCTTGAGTTAGTTATAAAAATAATAAAGGTAAGATAATAATAATAATAAATTATCAATTTAATTTTCATTAAACTTAAGTTTACTAAAGTAGGTGAACATCATATTTTATGCATTTTATCTGGAAGCTATATGCAATATAGTGACACACATTCAAGAAAAATGTATTTCATTGCAAGGTTAATTAAAGTTTTTTTTTTTATTAGCTGGAATGTTCAGAACTCATCTACAATGAAAACTTGAGATAAATATCATACAGTGCTGAATGTTGCTTTGAAGTCAATGTCTTCCTGTCTATGAATTGTCTCGCAGGTTTTATGCATCTCTTTTGCATGGGGAGCCTATTTCTCTTTGCTGACATCGTTTGCTCCTTCGTACATCTGGTTTGTCTTTCTCCGAGCCCTCGTAGGATGTGGCGTAGCAGGTCATTCACAAGGGTAACGTCATAATGCAAACAATACAGTGGTGGGATTCAAAATTTTTTACTACTGGTTCTGTGGGCATGGCTTGGTGGGCGTGGCAGGGGAAGGATACTGCAAAATTCCCATTCCCTCCCCACCCCACTAACCTGCTTTCCAGCTCCGTTCTCCTTTGTAAGGCAACAAAAGAAGACCCAGCCGATCAGCTGGGATTCAGGAGGCAGAGAATAGTGGGGGTGGGGCCAGTCAGAGGTGGTATTTGCCAGTTCTCCGAACTACTCAAAATTTCTGCTATGGGTTCTCCAGAACTGGTCAGAACCTGCTGAATACCACCTCTGAAAAAAATAATAGGACAAACATCAGCATTCTCATGTGATGTTGTGAACATTCAGATGTTTTTAATGAATGCATATTTTACCATAGGATCAAAAGTCCAGAAGTACTATGGGATTTGTTCAAACAGCACATTACATATAACGTCTATAATCTTCCAGGGCAAATTATGATATATCTCTTCCTCTACCAAGTTCTAAGTTTAAGCCTAAAGTAAAACAATTTAGTTAGAATTGATGAATGTTGCAATTAAAAATAAACAGTGAAGGGTTGGTTTGGTTTGGTTTGGTTGAGATGAGGTGAGGTAAGGTAAGGTGAAATTAGATTGATTGGGTACTTTGCGTGAATCCAGCCATTATGGCTACTTCAACAAACTCTCAGTAAAACCAACCTGGAAGTATTTGAACCTAATTAATACATTTCTTTCTCTTTCCTTAATTTTCTTACCTTATTTTTTTTTTTAGGCTTATAATAAAAACAGAATTTTTACCCACAAAATACCGTGGTTATATTTTGCCTTTATCACAGGTAAACCAGAAATCTATTTGCTAAGAAATGTATCATGTATCAATATCTATATATCACTATTTATACCAACAAACCATACTTCTGAGTGTGTGAATACAATATCTACATAACTGCAGAGAAATTTGTGGACACAGCTGCTCTCAGAGATGCCATGTGGAGGCCAGCTATCAACATGTTTAACATTTTGACAATTATGTTAAATAAAGATCCCATTTATGTACTAAGGTTTTCTGATTGAATCAAAAGAAGAATCACCTTGAACTGTATTTTTACAGAGTAGTACCCATCTATGGCTGGGGGGTCAGGGTATAGCTGGCAATCATCAGAAAAGGGTTTTCTGTACCATGACACCCAGATACTAATTCTTCTTGAGCAATATATTGTTCAAAAGACTGGATGATTATCTTATTAGGAAGGATTAAAACATTTAGAGTTTTTAAATAGGAAAAAAGTTTAATAAGAAGCAAAGATCTGTGCAATTATATGTGGATAATTTTCTTTTATTTTTCTTATATCCAAGATGTCATGGTCAGCCAATGAAACTGAATAATAAGAGATTCGGGACAGATAAAGTGCCCCTTCATCCAATGGACAATTACAGTGATGGCATTTGTGGCCAGATGTTGTAGGGATAGCTAACAACTTGAACAGTTTTCCAAGAAAGATGAATTTGTAGGGGGGAAATGTATAACTGGCCTCAACTGATGATAACTTCAAGTGATGACACTTCCAAAAGCAGCATGTTTTTTCCCCTGGATCGGGGGTCTTCAAACTTGGCAACTTTAAGACTTGTGGACTTCAACTCCCAGAATTCCCCAGCCAGCCATGCTTGAAGTCCACAAGTTTTAAAGTTGCCAAGTTTGGAGATCCCTGCCCTAGATAATCCCTTCTGAATGAAGAGTAAACCAGCTGCTCCTTGAAGACAAATAAAAACAGAGCCATCCATATCTGATACTCATGATGCTCTACTCTATGGTATTGTGTGAAGCAAAGTAGAAGAAATAAAAGTTCCTAAGGAGGAAGAGAGAATGAGAGAGAGAGTTTGTGCCAAGAAAATCAACATGGGCTGGAGGGATAGAGCTCAACTCAAAATAAATAGCAATAGCACATAGATTTATGTACCACTTCACAGTGCTTTATATCCCTCTCTAAGCGGTTTATAGAGTCGGCATATTTCCCCCAACAATCTGGCTCCTCATTTTACCCACCTCAGAAGGATGGAAGGCTGAGTTAACTTTGAGCCTGTTGAGATTCGAACTGCCAAATTGCAGGCAGCTGGCAGGCAGCAGAAGTAGCCTGCAGTACTGCACTGTGCCACCTCGGCTCTTGTTATTTTTAGAAAGTGGGGTTGGTGGGAGATATCACTACTGAATTATAATGGTTTCAGATTTCTTAAGCTGCCTTAGAAGTTTTTCATGATAGAAAAGTAAAAGTAGTCCTCAACTTACAATCATTTGTTTAGTGACTGTTTGAAGTTGTAATGGCACTGAAAAAAGTGACTTGTGATTGGTTTCCATACTTGCCACCACTGCAACATCCCCATGGTCACATGATCAAAATTTGGGGGCTTGCAACTGACATGTATTTATGACAGTTGCACTACCTGGGTCATGTGATCACCATTTGTGACCTTCCCAGTCAGTTTTTGACAAAAAGTCAATGTGGGAAGAAGCCAGGTTTGCTCAGTGATCTCATGATTCATTTAACAATGCAGTGATTCATTTAACAACTGTGGCAAAAAAGGCCTTAAAATTAGGCAAAACTGACTTAACAACTGCCTTGCTTAGCATCAGAAATTTTGGGTTCGATTGTGGCTGGAAGCTGAAGACTACCTGTATGGAATACACAGTCTGAAATAAATAAAATCTGGGATATACAGAACTTTCTCAGACATCTCCACCTGCTATATGTCACGGGACTTAGATCATCTACTTTTGAACAGCATGAACTCTCCAAAGTGGCTGTTGATACGGCTCAGGGTTCTGTTGAAAGTCCATTATGCCTGACACAGTTTTTTCTATCCCAATCAAAGGAATTGGAAATGTTTACTCCTTTTTTCAGTATTAATTTTTCTTACAATGAATAATTGATTTATTGATTTCATTCTAGCACAAGCAAGTGGAATGAAGTTAGGACTATCATTAAATAAACTTGTTAAATGTAATTGGGAAAATCCATGTGTTTTTAACTCTGTATAAATTTATACTTCAGTCTGTGAAATATGCATTCTGTTCTTATTTCTGCAGCTGCAAAAGTTTATTCTCTGTTGAAATGTTTATACATTACATTCTGAGAAAGATTGACAGCTTATGTTCAAGCTTCAAAATTCAAGTTGATAACCATTTTGCTTATTTTATCAAAATTTGTACTGGTATCCCAAAAATCAAATGTGGGAATGCTTACCTCAATATTTTAATCATGTTTTATGCAGCAACGCAATGTGAAGAAAAATGTGGATGTTGAAAGAATGTACAGATGTAGAGAACCTCATTGTCTCCTAATCTATCCTTTGTTTTTTTCATTTCACAGGTATTTTGGTTGTCAGGCTCCTTATTAATTATTGGACTGGCATCAGTTGTTAACTCAACTCTTGGGTGGCGGTGGCTGATCCGAATTGCTTCTATTCCTGGCATTCTACTTCTCCTTGTATTTAAGGTCTGAAAGACTTAAAACTTAGGTTTGCATATATAGAGAGTTAGGTAGAGGGGTGTGTGGGTATGTATGTGTTTGTAAAGAAATTCATTGATGCTGGCTAATTATCAACATTTTTATCAATTTATACCATGCAAAATGCTCAACCATACTCATCTGTCAAATTCAATAGACTTTAGTTTGTGATACAGAGAGCAATGTTGTACATGCTTAGCTTGAATCTCTTAAAGAGGATGGGCCTATCATAAAACAGAGACCAGAGGTAACTTCATATCTGAAACTTATTTGGATACAGAAGCAGATTTTATATCCCAATCCTTTCATTTGACATGTTTTTGATTGATTGATTGAAATTTTCTTAGTAATTTTCCAATCAATTGATGAAGTAATGTAGGAATATCTTGTTTCTAATAAAAAGTTAGAAATGAAATCAGTCAGAAATAACAAACAAAGAAAAATGTATTCTAAAAAAAAGGAAAGAAAATATCTAGAGCTATTTCTAATCATTGTTTTCCAGTAAACATATCTGGGCTTTCTCAAAATCCAAAGATGTTTCTAGAACAAGATGTGAGGTGACAGAAGACTAAATTATAAATTATGTAAACAAAAGCCTTGAAAGGCTCCCAAGTTTCCCAAGCTGTCTTGTGTGGAACTCCTGCAAGTTTGAAGACAACTGTCATAACAAAAATTGTTGCCATAAATTGTTTCTAACCTCAAATAAGTCTTGACTCCTGGTGGTTGCCTGGACCAGTCTCTACAGTTTTCTTGGCAGTGATTTTCCATTGGCTGCTTTCTAGGGATGAGAAAAAGTGACTGGCCCAAGATCACCCAACTGGCTTTGTCCCTCAGACAGGACTAGGACTTACAATTTCCCAGTTTCTAACGTGGTGCCTTAACCACTACATCAAATTAACTGTTGTAAATTGGATGATTCAAAAATCAGTTGTAATCTCAATCCTATATGCATACTGCAAATCAAACATAGCCTCTTAATGGATTGAGGGCCAATATTCTGAGGCAAGTAATTGCTGTCCGGGCAATCTCATAACTGATATATCCTGCTGTATTGGGTCTTAAGAGAAAAGGCAGACCGCATATTCCCATTTTCCTGGCCACATTCCACCACACCCTTGATCCACCTTTCCCATAAAAGCTTCAAGGGGTTGTTTGTTTGCATGTTAGAGGACATTTCATTGCTGAGGCAGTACCCTGATGATTTGATTTAAGCAAGAAAATTATTTATTTTCTGCAACTAGAAGAATTTGCCTAAAATTTTAACATTGGGAGTTTAAGAAAAGCTAAATCCATTATTGGGTGATACAGGAATTCACAGGTATTGCAAAGGTTGCTCTGATACCAACTTAACCTGCAAGTGAGGGAAAGATCCCTTATACACTGCTCAAAAAAATAAAGGGAACACAAAAATAAGACATCCTTGATCTGAATGAATGAAATATTCTTATTAAATACTTTGTTCATTATATAGTTGAATGTGCTGACAACAAAATCACACAAAAATTATCAATGGAAATCAAATTTAGCAACCCATGGAGGTCTGGATTTGAAGTTACACTCAAAATTAAAGTGGAAAAAAACACTACAGGCTGATCCAACTTTGATGTAATGTCCTTAAAACAAGTCAAGATGAGGCTCAGTAGTGTGTGTGGCCTCCACGTACCTGTATGACCTCCCTACAACGCCTGGGCATGCTCTTGATGCAGATGGTCTCCTGAGGGATCTCCTCCCACACCTGGACTAAAGCATCCCACAACTCCTGGACAGTCTGTGGTGCAGTCTGTCGTTGGTGGATGGAGCAAGACATGATGTCCAATATGTGCTCAAATGGATTCAGGTCTGGGGAACGGGCAGGCCAGTCCATAGCATCAATGCCTTCGTCTTGCAGGAACTGCTGACACACTCCAGCCACATGAGGTCTAGCATTATCTTGCATTAGGAGGAACCCAGGGCCAACCGCACCAGCATATGGTCCCACAAGGGGTCTGAGGATCTAATCTTGGTACCTAATGGCAGTCAGGCTACCTGTGGCGAGCACATGGAGGACTGTGCAGCCCCCTAAAAAAATGCTACCCCACACCATTACTTATCCACTGCCAAATCGGTCATGCTGGAGGATGTTGCAGGCAGCAGAAAGTTGAAGGTGGAGGTAGCGGTCCTGATATTGGGTTGTTGCCCTCCTATGGCCTCCTCCACGTCTCCTGACGTACTGGCCTGTCTCTTGGTAGCACCTCCATGCTCTGGACACTGACACAGCAAACCTTCTTGCCACAGCTTGCATTGATGTGTCATCCTGGATGAGCTGCACTACCTGAGCCACTTGTGTGGGTTGTAGACTCCGTCTCATGCTACCACTAGAGTGAAAGCACTGCCAGCATTCAAAAGTGACCAAACCATCAGCCAGAAAGCATAGGAACTGAGAAGTGGTCTGTGGTCACCACCTGCAGAACCACTCCTTTATTGGGGATGTCTTGTTAACTGCCTATGCTTTCCACCTGTTGTCTATTTCATTTGCACAACAGCATGTGAAATTGATTGTTAATCAGTGTTGCTACCTAAGTGGACAGTTTGATTTCACAGAAGTGTGATTGACTTGGAGTTACATTGTGTTGTTTAAGGTTTCCCTGAGGAACGGGCGGGCCAGTCCATAGCATCAATGCCTTCGTCTTGCAGGAACTGCTGACACACTCCAGCCACATGAGGTCCAGCATTGTCATGCATTAGGAGGAACCCAGGGCCAACTGCACCAGCATATGGTCTCACAAGGGCTCTGAGGATCTAATCTTGGTACCTAATGGCAGTCAGGCTACCTCTGGCGAGCACATGGAGGGCTATGTGGCCTCCTAAAGAAATGCCACCCCACACCATTACTGACCCACTGCCAAGCCGGTCATGTTGGAGGATGTTGCAGGCGGAAGAATGTTCTCCACGGCATCTCCAGACCCTGTCACGTCTGTCACATGTGCTCAGTGTGAACCTGCTTTCATCTGTGAAGAGCACAGGGAGCCAGTGGCGAATTTGCCAATCTTGTTCTCTGGCAAATGCCAAACGTCCTGCACGGTGTTGGGCTGTAAGCACAACCCCCACCTGTGGACGTCGGGCCCTCATACCTCATGGAGTCTGTTTCTGACCGTTTGAGTAGCCACATGCACATTTGTGGCCCACTGGAGGTCATTTTGCAGGACTCTGGCAGTGCTCCTCCTGTCCCTCCTTGCACAAAGGCGGAGGTAGAGGTCCTGATGCTGGGTTGTTGCCCTCCTACGGCCTCCTCCACATTTCCTGATGTATTGGCCAGTCTCCTGGTAGCGCCTCCATGCTCTGGACACTACGCTGACAGACACAGCAAACCTTCTGGCCACAGCTCGCATTGATGTGCCATCCTGGATGAACTACACTACCTGAGCCACTTGTGTGGGTTGTAGACTCCATCTCATGCTACCACTAGAGTGAAAGCACCGCCAGCATTCAAAAGTGACCAAATCATCAGCCAGAAAGCATAGGAACTGAGAAGTGGTCTGTGGTCACCACCTGCAGAACCACTTCTTTATTGGGGATGTCTTGCTACCTGCCTATGCTTTCCACCTGTTGTCTATTCCATTTGCACAACAGCATGTGAAATTGATTGTCAATCAGTGTTGCTACCTAAGTGGACAGTTTGATTTCACAGAAGTGTGATTGACTTGGAGTCATATTGTGTTGTTTAAGTGTTCCCTTTATTTTTTTGAGCAGTGTAGTTAGATGGGAACCAAGGAACCAAGATGTAGGCTTCAAAGCCAAGAATCCCAATTGTATCGCATTGGCTGGTTGCAGTAAACTTCAGGCTAAGAAACAGTCTATTTTACATTATTCTTTGGGCTACGTCATACAAAACATTTATGCTTCCATTCTGTTTGGACACACATTTTATTCAGATAAATGTGTAGACTTGTAATTGCATATATAAGCACCAGTATTCATTTATCTTTGGGGTTTATTGGAATTGTTTCCAGTTATAATTGTAATTTGTGGATTAGCACATTCTATTACTTTCTGATAGACTTTCTGAAAATGGCTTGGGTGGACAGAAAGCACTGCATGAATTGCTCTGCAGTGATTCATCATATTGATCTGAATGCTATAATACTAAAAGAGATACTGCATCGAATCCAGCCTTTATTACAATAAGACTATAAGATTGATGGTACACTGGAAATGTTGGTGCTTGTTTATCTAACTCATTTGTATTTTGCAGTTTATCCCAGAGTCTGCTCGATATAATGTATCTTCTGGAAATGATAAAGCGGCCCTTGCTACTCTCAAATGGATTGCTAAAATGAACCATTCTGTTATCCCCGAAGGAAAGTTGGTAGAAACTGTTGAAGTAAGTTTTTCACTATTTTTGTTAACCTCCTTCCTGAAACCATGAGGTGCAGAACTGACTCCCATTATTAAACTATCCATTGGCTGACTATCCATCCATTAAATCAGCGTTTCTCAATCTTGGCAGTTTGAAGACATGTGGCCTTTAACTCCCAGAATTCCCTAGCCAGCATAGTCCACACATTTTCAAACTGCCAAGGTGAGAAACACTGTGTTAAACTATGATGGCAGACTTGAACACCTAAAAAGGTAAAGTCTCCTTAAATAAAGTAGTTAAAGTCCATAAAGTACAACAACGATGTTTAACTATCTGTTCACATCAATGGAATTTAACTTACTAGACATTACAAAAGACAAGAAGCCACTATTGGTCCAATTCTTCTTTTCTTATAGTCCATTGTTGGACAATGTATGATACAATAGTGGTATGTATTGTGCAATCTGTCGTGAAACAAAGTGAACATTGTAGTCAACTCCCGGGTGTCCAATATGTGGCCTTCCAGATGTTTCTGAATTTTATCTTGCCTATGTTTTCTGGGGCTACCAGGAGTTACTGAGTTGAAAAGTTAGATTATAATTCACAAAGGGTTTCAAAGCTTGGGATGTCTCTTCAGCATTTCAGCAACAAATATTCAGTGTATTTCTGACTGTTCCTTTAACATATTTCTAGGAAAAGCGAGGTAGATTCAAAGACCTATTTGATCCCAAATACTTACGGACATCTTTGCAAATATGGATTATATGGTAAATTCATATGACTTTCTTCTTTCAAACTACAGTGAACAAAATAAAATTAATAAATGTTAGAGAAAATGTAGTTTTTGTTTGTCTTTAAATTTATTATAGCTTCCAACTCTGATTATCTTAAGTATAAAAATTACTATTCAGAAGCTAATCAGAATACCAAGCAAATATTATAGTAATTTAGCTTACATTCATTCGATTCTGTGTAGGATGTTCTGCATTGGCCTTCTCCAGCCAGGCATTCTTCATTTGACATATTGAAATGTAAACTCTAATGAACAAAATTTGGTAATAGCTGTTGTTTACACTCATGGTATGCTGACCAGGAGTTTTGGGAATTATTGCTCCCAGCACATTGGAATAGCACCAGATCACAAAGCTTCCACATGCATTCTTAGATGCAGTTAATATATTTTGTTTTATTCTTTCTTCCAATTTGGAAATGAATATCTGAATAAAAGAAATAGTTTTGTGTAGTGGTTAAAGGCATCAGACTAGTCTTTTCTTTGAACCCTAGGAAGGAGGCAATGACAAACCACTTCTGAAAAACCTTGCCAAAAAAAACCTGCAGGGACTTGTTTAGGCAGTGTCTGATAATTGTACATGATTGAATGGAATGAAAAAAAAATCTGAAAATAAAACAAAAGCAAAATAGGCAAGAAAATTATGTGACTATAGTCTTATGTTATAACTAAGATATTAGTCAATCCACCTTAATTTACCTGACACAATGTACGGAACTGTTTAAACATATGGATGAATGCACATATTCGCTTGATCTCTGCCCTGCATTATTTATATGAAATCTCTTAATGTTCTTGAAGTTAGTGTCATGCATTGAGTTTTTTAATTGTTTAAGCAATTGAGGGAATTAGAAAAGTATCAATGAATAAAACTCAGTATATGCAGTGTCACATTCATATGCCAATATACTCTTGACAATAGAAACATATATTCCAGATTGTGCAATAAAATTGAAACCCAGTGGTAGAAAATATACAAGCATTAGCTGTGATGTTTTCTTCTGAATCTGAAAATGTAGGCTTATAAGCAGAAATACACAGATAGGTCACTAAGTAACATAGGCAGATATGTAATTTGGATCTTCTAGCCAGTTAAAATTTGATCTGTACCTAATTCACTTGACACCTTAAAGTGGGCAAAAAACAAGAAGAGGTAACACATTTACAATTATTGCATTGCTCTTCTACCCTGGAATTTGGATCAGTGCAAAATTTTGAATCAATTTGAATTATGAGAAGTTGAACTATTTAGTCCAAGTGTACAAAAAGGATTATTTGAATTGCTTAATTCAGTAGCAAACATTTTCTTCATCCTTGCATACTGGAAGTTGTATGGGTAATTAATAGTATTTACCAATCCCTTAACAGTTTGGTGTGCTGTTAATTAATTTGAATGCTGCCATGAAGCCCTTTCTTGTTCTATTTGGGACTATCAAATGTACCCTGTAGATGTACCTTATTATTTTTAGAGAATATTCTAAAGAATGATTTCCACCCCATTGCTAACCCCTTTTGTTTTCTATGACAGGCTTGGAATTTCTTTTGCTTATTATGGTGTCATCCTGGCCAGTGCAGAATTACTGGAGAAGGATCTAGTTTGTTCAAGAGGAGGATCAGCTGTAGAGGCAGAGCTAGGCCATACTCAGGAGGAGTTTCAGAGCCCTTGTCTCTGCCATACCTTTGCACCATCTGATTACCAGATCATGTTCATCAGCACAGTAGGAGAAATTGCATGTAATTCCAACCCACCCCCCTTCTGCCTTTATTTAAAGTAAGCATGAACAGGAGACTCCAAAGTTACCTCTCACAACAAGATACACACAGAGTTTCAGACAGGTACAGACATACACAAATGAAAATTTAGGAATTCTGTATGAAAAACAGTTCACTTGCTGTTGTCAGCTGCTTTCATTAATGTATTAATTAATTTAGGAATGTAAGAACAGCCCTTAATTTCACTAATTTCAGCTCTTGAAGTTCATACATTTTTAGGTTACCAAGGTTGAGAAACAAACAAGATGCTGATGGGAAGTTCTGTTACAAAGTCCCCATTTGTAGTTTTCAAGTAATCGTAAGGAAGCAATGAAGAAAATAGTTGTCAAGAGACTTCCCTAAGGTAGTAGGGGTGTATGTGTATGTATGCATGTGTGATAATTATGCAGTAATGATTCAGTTAATTTAAGTTTACAATGTGACATCTTTTTCTCCTTCTTTTCCTTTTTTAAAAATAGTAAATCCCTTAAATATTCTTGGCATCAATTTCCTGGGAAGACGAGTGAGCTTGACAATAACAATGGGATGCACTGCTGTTTTCTTTCTTCTCCTCAATATATGCACCACAATGTAAGTAGCTTGGGTGGGAGCATATTATGATTAAATGGCTTGGATTCCAATGTTTGCCACAGCTTCTAGCATCTGGCATGGTTAACCATATTTCAGGAAATGGACATGATGATTCATCGAGTGCTTAAAAATTAAAATAGTTTGGCTTAATAGAACATTTATTACAGGCAGGAATTATGCATTTGGGAATATTCAAAAGATGAAGGCAGAACTGTATTCAGTTTTTGGAATAAATTGCTACTACATGAACATAATGAGTTATGATATTCCCAAAGTTCAGAGGAAACATACTAGAGAACACCAGGGAAAGAGGACTATCTTTTGTGAGTTTCCCAGGAGCTCCAAGACAAAATCCAAAATACAAGGTCCCTACTCAGATGCCCTATGATTAACTGTTTGATGCAGAAGAAAAGGAACATGGTAGTAGGGTAAATGTAGTGACCATAATTTTATATCTCTAAAATAAATAAGGACTAGTCTGTTTCTCTCTGATGCAAATTTGCTGGAAAGTTCTAGTTGATTACACCAACATTGGTAAAGTTTCCCTCTTTCCTATCTGGATTGTCAATCCATAACAGTTAGAGCAACTGACAGAAGCAGATGTTTGATTTAGTATAAACTGAGGGTTTTCCCCAAACAACAGACATGATGTAAATGGATAATTATGTTGATCTTCACATTAGCCTGTAGCAATAAAGGGAGTTGGTGCCAACAGAGAATGTTTTTGAATGCCAGTCTGGACAGAGTAATTAATTGCCAAGGTTTTATCATATTTTATGCCTACCCTACTGTATAAATTTACAATGACCCTCTCCATGAACAAAAGAAAAAAAGGAATCGACAGATTTCCTGCCTGAAATGTATTGATTTTTCATAGGTTTTATGTGTTAACATATATGATGGTCAGCCAATCTTTGCATCTGATAGAAATCATCAATGTATGTGCTGATGTTGTAAGAAGTCAAATAATATATTTCAATGAACCTAATGGCTTGGACATGTGTTTAAATACACATGTGCATGTGTAAAACTATAATTTTGCCAAGGCAAAATTGGTAGCTGCTAAAGTTCAGTCCTCAGTCAATATGTGGCTTCTATTTATTATAATGCAGATTGGGTAAATAATTAATTTTTCCAAGGGGCCACATGAAAAACTGGAACCATTGTGGATGGCCACTCTGCCACCCCAACCCCAGCCAGCCAGCCAGAGACAGCTACAATCTTGAATGTGGCCTGTGGGCCGTAAAATGCCCATCTTATCTAATATCTTCTCAGCAAGTTACAGAATATGACTTACCCTTCCTGCACTTGTAGATGAGGCTCCCCTCAGCATATCCCAGCCTAGTGCTCTCCAGATGTGTGGGACTGCATAACTTTACTGATAATTTACTAGTTGATCATAATTTATTTAGTTATTTATTTATAATTCATGTTTCTAGACCACCCATCTTCCCCAAGTGTTTCACACTTCTTGCTGATACAAGTTGAGCAAGGTCATAACCTATTAAATATTAACTTTACCAAATATTTACAATTTCTCACTGATATTTTAGCTATTCATCCCATTTTGTTAAATGTCCCAGATTTGCACCAAATGCCCAGTAGTTTGTCTTTACACTTACTCTGCTCTAAAAATATAGCAATGCATTTAGGCTATGCCTTGTTTTAGGTGTTCGTATCTGCTCTGTTCTTGAAAGATCTTCCATTATGCATGTGGCTATCCTTCTGACACTTTAGATAGATAGTTATTATTTCAAAGGCTGTCTGTTACTAATTCTAATGGTAAACCTGGTGTGGAATGCATGAATTTTGTTCAGGTGGCTACTTTTGCACTAATATATGCTTTTTAAAATTATTTCCCAACATATTCTAAAAATAAATCTGAGGGATTTGCATCATATTAAACTTACCAGCAAATCTACTTGATCAAGAACCCCAAGAAAAACTTGACTGAGCACACAATAATACCGAATCATTTTTTCTTTTCCCCTTCAATTATGTTGGCCTTCACATGAAAACATGGTGATCATACAACACACTTAGGCAGGCCAAAGTTTTAGGGCTGGATTTGTACAGTGTGAGATTTTTTAAAACCTTTATTAATGTTATACTGGTTGGAGTCTTCCAATTAATTCATTAGAATCTGTTTTTGAGTAAAACCAAGATCATTATAAGACTTTGAAGCTTGATATTTAAGATCTCAAAGGCAAATAAAATTTATTAAAGAAGTCTTACAATTTTCCATCTTCTTCATAAGGTGAAAGAGAATATCCACTTATGTTTTTAGGATATGGTTAAATATACTAATCAATCACCAATCAAGTTAAGCATGCTGGGCATATGTAATCATAGTGTCACTATATATGACAACAACTATTACTTCCAAAGAGAAAGGTCAGGGATTTATTGTCAAGTAACAGTATTTAGACAATGGATTATTGAATAGAAATGATACATTGGTGTATAAATAATTCAGATGCATTAGAGTATTTTCTGTTGAAAAAAATCTTCTCCCATATAATTCTATTTGATTAGAATTTGGCTGATAGGAAATTAAAATTGAACAGGGAACAATTTTTAGAAAGGATGTCAGGACCTTTTTTAAAAAAAAACTTGTTTTTCAGGTATATTAGTGGAGAAGCATTGTAAAAGTCAAATTAATTGAGTCTACAAAAGAAAATTTCTTGCTCAAAAAAATACATGGAGACTTTTCATGGTACTGTCATTTTATGAGTTGACAGGTGCTTCCTACATGATCCCAATCCTATGACCGGAGAAAAAACAGAATATATAGCATTATCTCATGGATAAGACATTTTGGGATCAACAACAAAGCTAAATGACAGAAATTCAGAATAGTTAAGAACTGGTTACTTACCTGTAAACGATGTTAAGTGGCCACCTGCAATTTTCTGTTTATATTTTATTATTTGTTATTTTATTTATATTTATATTATATATACTATTAATAGTTTATATTACAGAACTAATTTTTTATAGGAACATGTTCCCCTTGCATTACATATAATCTTTTTCCTTCAGTAACCATTCAAACATTCAAGGTTACATCAGTGGAACACACCAGTAAACTATTGGGCTTTGTTATATTATTTTCTTCATAACTTTTCTCTTTATTTTTCTATCTAGTACTGGTCTTATTGGTTTCCTCTTTATGCTGCGTGCTTTTGTGGCTGCAAATTTCAATACTATCTATATTTACACAGCAGAGGTAAGGTCCTTCTGATTTCTTGAATTGCAAAGTGAAAAACTACTTAAATTATGTTTCTGAACAAGCTCTTTTTTAAACTTTTCTACTCAACAGGTACTCTTTGGCCAGCTTACTCAGAAATCTGACCAAGTTTATTATTTAATTCCACATAAAATAATATGGCATTTCAACCTAAGCCAGAATAGACAGGAACCATATGTTAACACCTATAACTTAGTAGGAGTTTTATGCTTGTTTTCAAACATGACTTTTTAACATTTTACTGTATTGGATTTTTAAAAAAAGTTTTTTTTAAAATTCAGTCTCTCTCTAAACTTTAGTAATTTCATTCATTTGTTCTTAAAAATGAAGGCTTATGTTTTGTACTCAAGTACTGCATTGGAATCGAATTTAGAGGATTGGTAATAAAATATTTTGGTCCCAGGAAACTAAATTTCAACAAAACTATGGGATTATCTCTAGGCATAAAATAACCTAAATTCTGTAAAAGGTTTAGGTATTTTCCCTCTCTCTGGGCCTCATATTTGGAATCATCAGTATTATTTTTTAAGATACTGCCCTCTGCTTCATCCAATACTTTTTCTGTCAGATTATTCTCACATATTTTCACTACTGTCTTATAGGTTTATCCTACCACCATGAGAGCCATGGGATTAGGGACCAGTGGCTCCCTATGCCGTATAGGTGCTATGGTAGCACCTTTTATAGCACAAGTAAGACATCTTTTGTTTAAGAATTTCACTGCATATATAGCAGTAGGAACAGATTCCAGGCAGGTATTTTTAGTAGACTATATAGATTGACTGATGTTTAAAGATTCAGATCTGTAAGATTTTGGGTGTTTTTAATAAGTTTATTATTTCTTTTCAGAATGTTTGAAGGAAAGGGACATCAGGCAAGCTAAATTGATACTAATATATTCAAAATGCAGAATCCTGTTTTAGCTATGGTACAATAAAGGAAAAAGATGATAAACATTTAAAAATGAAAGGACAAGTTTGTTTAAAAATCTTAATTACAAGAAAAACTTAAAACAGCAGCAATTCATTTACTGAAGCTTAGAAGGCACAATATGAATAAATGTAGCAATAATTCAGAATGCAACAGAATAAGAGACTTCAGTAATTATGTTGCAAGAAGTTAGGGAAAAAGATTAATTACATTTGCTGATTTTAAAAAACCATTATATATTTTATTATAAAGTATACTTTCTTAATAAAGAACTTGATATTAACTCACTAATAGAAAAGTGATTCTAGCTCATCTTTATTTTAGTGGAGAAAAATGAAATCCTTGAACTCTTCCAATGAAATCAACAGAACTAAAAGTGATGAATTTCTATAGGTTGTTGAATTAATAAGAGAAATAAATGAATTCATAAGACAGTGAACTACTCTAAAAATTTCAACTGATGCAGTATGATATAGTTCACAAAAGCTTGTGCCGTGACAAATGAAAGGGCCATTATAAATTTAATATTACTTTCTGAAAATGTATAATCTCCTTTTCTACTCTAGCACAATGCTTAAAGCAGCTTATAACATAATTAAAAGCCAGGTACAATATCATTTAAAAGAAATGAAAAAAGATGTTGAAACTTTTCCTTTCTTTAGCTAGAGACTTTGTAAATCCCATAATGCTTTGTGTGGAGGAAATGAATCATGTAATATTTTACTTAAATTAAAGCAATTGCCTTGTATTTTCCTGAATGAATTTTTTAAAGCTATAATTTATTCCTACGTATATCTGCAACATTATGATAGCAAGTTTCCTTCTCTCCACAATCCCCCATGAATAAACTTTCATTAATTGTATGCACTCTCCACCTCTGTTTTGTCTATAAGAAAAGTTTGGCATTGCAATTCCATGCTAGCTTCCTCCATATATGTTCAGTTCATGGAAATATAATTCTATTGAAAGACAGTTCAATCCATAAAATAAATAGGCCAAAGGATTTACAGATGAATTGTCAGAATTGCATGACAGCATGGCACTAATACATTATTTAATTGTAGGTACTTATGAATGCTTCTTTCATGGGGGCACTGTGCCTTTTTGCCTTGGTTTGCCTTGTGTGTGCTATCTCTGCGTTCACTCTACCAATAGAGACCAAAGGGAGATCACTTCAGGTGGGTAATTCGTCTTGCTTCTGAATAGAAGGTTCCCCAAAAAACTTCCTCCCAATTCAATTCCATTACCAAATATAAAGCCCGTGTCAGATTTATTTTAGGAAGTGAACGTACTTTTAAAAAAAGACCCTTACAAAGAACTTCAACTTTTGTATCTGAAATGAACTAAGGCATGAACCCTAAAAACAAATGGCTAACAACTTGATACTGAAGATTCAAAAGCAAATGCAGATATAGGCAGTTCTCAACTTAGAATCACAATTGGTATAATTGAAATAAGTGATGCAGTTATTGAATCATATGCAATTTTATAACTTTTTTTTTGCCACAGTTGTTTCCCGATTGTTAAATGAATTACGGTTTCCCCATTCTTTGCTTGCCGGAGGCTGGCAGGGAAGGTCGCAAATGGCAATCACATGAACCCGGGACACTGCAACCACCATACAGGTTGACAAGTGCCTAAATTTTGACCAAATGACTGTAAGGTTACTGCAAAAATTATAAATGGGGGGACCGGTCATGTCACTTTTTTTCATCACTGTTATAACTTCAAACAGTGTTAAACGAATAGTTGTGATTTGGGGACTATCTGTATGTAACTACTAGGCAAATCCAGGTGCTTATTTGGATCTCACATAGCTAGTTTGGATCTCCTTGTATATTCATAGAAAGGCATATTTTTAAGCACCAAGGTCAGTACTAGTAGAGACTTATAGGCAGTTCTCAAGGTATGATAGGGCATTTAATGACTAGCATCATATCAGATATCCAGAGCTCAGGAAGTCAGACTGGGAAAGCCAGTCCATTGCTGGTCCACGTGGCACAATCAAGAAAAAATACTGGCAGTTTTGCTTTCTCACCTTCTATGGGGTTACTAATGCTGGCATAAAGCTGGAAAAGCAGAGCATAGCAGGAAAACAAAATGGACAGGATTTCTTATTAGTTGTGCCACATGGCCCAGCAATGAAGCGGCCTTCTCTACTATTGAACTTCCTGAGCTGTGAGTATTTTCAAAAGATAAGTGTGCAATTATGACATAGTGGGGTAGGAATGCCCAAGGGTCAGGAAGCAAAGCTGGGATATCTCAGAAGGTGAGAAGCCTTGGGAGGCTCAATGAAGGTAGCCTGTGCCTGTACTAGGTGCCTCAGTCTTTTCCACCTGAGTCACTGAATGCTCTACTTAACGACCCACACATTCATTTAACAAATGCAATGAGGAGAATAGGGATGTTTGGGGGGGGTGATTAATGATGTGGTTCATTTAATGTTTATCTCAACTGTTGATAGTGATGGGCAGACTCTGTGACTGTTGTAACTCAGACGTGTGGAGAATGGGACCTGTATTAATAAAATAGTACATTATATAAGTTACTGGAAATATTCTTTTTAAATTAAGCGGATGACTACAATAAAGAGTTGCATTGCCATCTATGGACCCTAATAATGCATATAAACTCTAACCGAGTAAGAGAATTTCAGCACAGAAAAAAAAAATACACTGATGGCCCCATCTCTACTATTCTGTAACAGGTTCTAATGGAAAAACATAAGCGAGGTTTCTAATTGGAGGTTAAATTGTTTCATGAAGCTCTAATTCATCTGATTGGGCCAATATGGCACATCAATGGAGATAGATGTTTGTAACATTTTGAGATGGTGACATCTAAATTTAATTTCTATTCAGTTAAGTCACACACTACAAAGTCTTAAATCTGATTCATCAGAGGACTAGCAACTGAGGTACACTAATCATACACCAAGGAGACATGGTGGCACAGGGATTAGGATGCAGTATTGCAGGCTAACTCTGCTCACAGCCAGTTCAATCCTGACTGGCTCAAGTTCAAATCACCTTCTATCCTTCCAAGGTCGGTAAAATGAGAACCCCAAATGTCTGGGGACACCATGGAGCAGTATATAAATCTAAGTGCTATTGCTATCATAATCAAGCTATCTTGTGAGGAATGCTACAGATATTACCACAAGAAGGTATCATGATGTAAAGTAGCTTATGAAGAATGAGATATACTGTATTTTTTTGGAGTATAAGACGCTCGGAAGTATAAGACACACCTAGCTTTTGGGGAGGAAAACAAGAAAAAAAAATCTGCCTCTGTCTCTGCCTCCCAGCAATTTGCCTCCTTGCAGCAAACAGCAAGTTTCAGTTTCAGCAGAGTCTGATTGGAATAAGCAGCTGATTGTCGGTTGGATTGGCCTCCCAACGACCAGCTGTTTCAGGCTGCAGGGATTGCTATTGCCTCCTCCGCACGCCCCATTTTTGGCCTCTGCATCCCCTTTTCAGCCTCTGCACACCCCATTTTCCGCCCGTTCTCGGCGGTGGGGATTGAAATGGGCAGAAAATGGGACACACGGAGGCCAAAAATGGGGTGTGCAGAGGCCAAAAATGGGGCGCATGGAGGCGGCAATAGGCAATGGCAATCCCTGCAGCCTAAAACAGCTGAACATTGGAGGCCGATCCAACCAACAATCAGTTGCTTATGCTAATCAGACTGCTGAAACTGAAACAGGCTGTTTGCTGCAAGGAGGCAAATTGCTGGGAAGCAGAGATGAAAGGGTGGGGGCTTGCAGGGGGAAGGGCCTTCGGCAGCATTCGCTGCTTAAAACGCAGAGACATTTCCATCCACTTTTGGGGGTTGAAAAAGTGTGTCTTATACTCCAAAAAATACGTTTTTATAGCACTGCAGTTAAAAAAAATGAAAGGGAATATTCTGATGCAAGCCTTCATGAATTATTGCTTCCGAACAGTTAGCCATCAGAGTAATTTAAAAGTATCACCTTTTTAAATTTAAGATTAAAATATTAGTTAACATTGTAAAGTTTCATTGCAACAAATGACTTATAAAAAATAATTAAAATCTGTTCTTTTTAAAACCTTTTCAGCAAAGAAAGTGAACACTAATTCTTGGAAGAGGAAGAAGACATTGGTTGCTTGAATCTTGTGTGGCCAATTAACAATTCTGAAAATGTGTTTTCAAGGTTAAACTGAGTTACTTCCTATATATAATCAATATAATTAAAATATCTCTATGTTTAAAGCAAAGTTTAAAAGTTATCACCAGACTTTCAAGTGCATCACATAGTCAGGTCCAAATAACAGAAACAGGAAAACCACAATGTCAGCTTGAGCTAGCATGTGCATGTTTTGTTCACATCTGCATGAAATGGGAGTTTTCTATATTAATCTGCATACCTGTGACAATTCCTTTCCTTTTTCCTTTCCTTCCCCTTCCCAGGGTATATATAACAATTACTGCTTCAAATCTTTCCACCTCTGGAATTTTGTGCATATTGAGCGGATAGAACAGAAACTTGCATTGTATTAAATAACCCACTACTGAAATATTTCTTCAGTCTCTTGGATCAGTTTTTGCTTACAACAGTTTCTTTTTTGCAATGATCACACTTTTCTCAATTTGTTATAAAAATTATCTGAATGTTTATAGTTTTATTAACTTTGTTTCCATTGTCTGAAACAAATTTCTGTATTGATCAGCTAAATAAAGTGAATCTTACATAGATTTTTATAAATATGCCTAGCATAAAGTCATATTTGCTGTCAAATATTGCATCTTTCTTTAGTCCACTACATGAAGCTGAAAAGCTATTCAATTCCACTGATAAGACAAATAAAAATTTCATTCCTTGAGCTGTAGCTAATTAATGGTTTTGAAGGAAATAAGTTACTCTTTTATAAAAGTATCTAGCGTATTATTAAACTATGATGCTCTTCTTGTTGTATATTAACCCCAGAGTATATTCAGTTAAATAGTATGTGATGACTTGCTACAATCTTCTTGGAAAACAGGAACATCCCCCCAAGGCAAGGCCACAAGTAAATAAGATAGGAACATCGGTCCAAGGTGAAGCTACAAGTAAACAAGATATCTGTTGTCTTGAAGAAATTGTCAAGTCGATCACTTAGCTTATAGTATGACTGAGATAATGAAGGGAATGGGGAGGGCTTCTTAGGCATGATGTGCATTGTGTAGAGGGTATAAAATGTTTTGATTGAGTATTGGATTTTGCGCTTCATGATCTCAATCTACTTGGGAAGAAATGTGAAGGCCTGCCTTTGCAAACACATTTTCAATAAATTTTGTTTGTACATCAGAGCTGTCTGTTGAATTAGTGTGTATAAAATTTGGAACATGTTTAAATCTCATAGTTTTTATCTTCAGATTACTAACTGCTTAAGATCTCTATATTTCAGTATTTGAGTTAGCTGTGCAATGGCTTCTTTGTTGTTTCTTTTGTATTTTCTTAATTCTTTCTATACAATTTTAGAAAATAGCAGAAATAAGAACCTCAGGATAATCTATTAAGCTATATATACTGAAACCTTCTGATGGATCTCTGCCAGTGGTTTCGATACTCAGGATGATGTTCTTTCAGAGAAATGATAATCTAAAATTAATTTAAACAAGTAACATAGAGAAGCTTAAATATATTCTTGCCATTATCTGAAGTGAAAATAAGAAGAATGTGAAGAATGAGATTTGAGTTCCAAGAGGAAAAGAAAGAAATTCAAATGAGAAAAATGGTTAAGATGGGAGGATAATGCTTCATTTCCCTTCCTAGATTATAATTATCCTAAGGCCTGAGATGGATAAATTGCTTTCTGTATCAGTTTAGGAATAGGCAAAATTTTGGGTTGATGCTCTATATATAGACTTTAATACAACAGGTAAGTGTCTAAGACATGAATGACCATGAGCAAGGCTTCCTGGTCCAGAAATGGGTGCAATTGACACACAAAATGAATTTGTGCAAAGGCCTCCTAGTCATGGCTACCACCTATTCCTTCAGCAGCAACTGTGAGTCCAGGAGCACTCCTTGATAATATTTCAATTCTGAGAAAGTATTCCCTTATCAACAATGACAACTCACCCCACTTCAAGGGGCCAAAAAAATCAAAACTACTTCATCCTGCCAGGGTTGACAGACTTTGTCCTCCCAGGGGCCCTGAAAGGGCTCACCTTTGGTCTCTTATTCAGAAGGGACCTGTTACCCAAAACAGCATCTTCAGATACAGTAAGAGTGGAAAAGTAAGCATGCTTCTTTGCTCTTCACTTTACTTGGTCATCTTTGTCATTTATCTTTAATGATGTGTTATGTATCTCTTCTTTTGTTTATCTCCTAAAATTCCTTTGTAAATCGGGTAGCCATAACCAGAGGGAGTCCACAAAGGCACGATTCAATCACTCCATCAATTGTTTTGGACAGGCCATGCAAGCAGGACCAACCTTTCTGAATTGGGAAGCAGTTACAGAGAACTCTAGGGCCAAGGCGTGATCCATTACTATTGCACAACTTCGGATCACTTTGCCATTGCCCTGAGACAAAAACAGATTCATATGTGACATCTGCTGGGAATTAGACTTCAATTTCACAAAGTGTCTTACATCTATCTATATCTAGGGAAGTAAAAGGTCACTACAGCCTACTGAATGATAACCACCCCACCCCTATCTCTGCTTCTCAAACCCATTATGGCATGTTTCTGAGATGAAAGTACTCCTGCACCAAACATTTTGGTGATACCTACCTGGTCAGCCCCCTCAAATTATATATGAGGCAGGCTTCATTACAGGCTGGCTAGGCATTCAGCAGCAACAGCCAGAGTCCAGGGCATCTGAGATTCCAGAGACCAAGCTCTGGACAAAGTATAGGGGGTAGAATGAAACAATAGTAATAAGCACCAGATCCCTTTCCCTCCCCATCTCCTACCATATCTACCAATGCATCAATTATCATGGATTAAGTTTTCCAGCCAATGTTACATTAAGATTTCTCTTCATATGATCACATAAAGACACAAAGGCATAGGTTTTCAAAGAACTTTAATTCATCTCCCCACTTTACATTTTAGGGCACAAATCATTATCTGGGGAAACTACAGTTTCATTGTACTTCTCAGAAACTTAGGACAATAGCAAACCATGTGCTCTTCTTCCCTCCAATGACTAACGTTTAAGTACAATAAAATTGTAAAGAATTATAATTTTGGCCAGTCAAATGGCTTTTGTAATTTTAATGTTTTCAAAGACCCCATTTTCTTAAAGCTCCCAATTCTAATTTAACTAGTTGTTTTTAATTTTTTTCCTCCCAAAACATCCTAGTTTTCCCTGGACTGAGAGTATAATTTATTTCCAAACAAGCACGGTAAATTTATATCAACAGGGGAAGGTATTACTTCCAGTTAAGTGCCCCTTATATGTAGAAATCAACGATGTCAAAAATTATTTTTAGAAAATGAAAAATTGATAAATATTTAAGTAAAAAATGCTTAAGAGTACATATAAGCAGCTTACTTAAAAAAAATGGTGCTCTTCCCACTTAAGGCGTTTTTTCCGGGGTTGCACAAATTCATCATCTGAGTCATCTGTTGGGGTTGAACTATTTTTAGCAGAATGGCAATAAGGCTGAACAGAAAATTTTCTCTCTGAAAAAAGGTTCTTCAAAAGTTTCTCAAAATACAAACTTAGTTTCATTCCAGCATCAGCTACTTCAGAATCAGGCTGTTGGAAAATTAAACATATTAATAATGTTAGAATATGTTTCTGAATGAACTACATAAAATATTTCTAGAAATGTTTATGAATTCTTATGTTGGAAACAGACAAATTTCAAGGACTTTGGCAATACTTCTGCAGAATTTCAGGTATGTTGTAACTTTCATATAGTATTCATAGTACAGGTAGTCCTCAATTTACAACCACAGTTAAGCCCAAAATTTCTGTGGTAAGCAAGATAGTTGTTAAGTGAGTTTTGCCCCATTTTATGATCTTTCATGCCACAGTTGTTAAGTGAATCACTACAGTCATTAAATTACTAACATGGTTGTTAAGTGAATCTGGCTTCCCCATTGACTTTGCTTGTCAGGTCACAAATTGACCCAGGATACTGCAACTGTCATAAATATGAATCAGTTGCCAAGCATTTGAATTTTGATCACATGACCATGGGGATGCTGCAACAATTGTAAATGTGAAAAATGGTCATAATTACTTTTTTCAGTGTCCTTGTAGCTTCAAATGGTCACTAAATGGTTTTAAGTTGAAGACTACATGTACTGAAATGGCAAACAAACAAATTTTAATTTGAAATTAGATATATTCTATTATTTCTCGTTAAGAGAACTGGTGTATGATAATTTATAATTACATGGCTTTATAATCTATCATGGTACCCAAAATTAGGCTCCTGGGTATAGCAGAAATCATAGCTGAACCATAGAGTGGAAAGTTGGCATTCATACTCAAATGTTTCTTTGGGGTAGTGATTTTGGTAGGTTGTTGCTGCCATTACTATTTTCCAAGATGTGGATCACCTGTCATCCACCCTTACTCACACCCAGGGTTGAGACTTTCACAATACCACTTAACAATTATTGTTTCTTAGTAATGTGTATAAGAATATATTATACTCTTTTTTCACCTCATTAAATTCAGCACAATTTTGAAATATTAGCCTGAAATCGGCTATAACATCTTCTGGTTTTGAATATATTGTGTGATGTGCTTGCAATCTATTCTTTATTGTTGACAAATCCATTGGCTTCTTAATTATTTTATAGTAGTCAGGCACCTAAAAAGAAACAGATAAGTATTTTCAGAAGTTTAGTTTCTGTTGATTTGGAATTTTAAAAAGTTACATTGCAGATATTTAGTCAGATGGCCATTAAGTGTACAGAAATTTATTCCCATGTCATCAATGAAAACATATGAAAAATATATTTTCAGTTGTAGTAGTTCTAAAACAAATAGCAAGCTGTATTGCGGATGATTATACATTGCATTTGTTTATTTTATTAGGCTTAAGAGTCACTCTTTGCCAGTGCTCCAGGAAGATACTATGACTGATGATATCAAAATCAAGTTGGACCAGGAGGGTTATATTTTGCCTATCCCAATCCTGCCACAGATCACCCACAACAGCAATAAATACAAATTCAATTCCATACTTCTACACCTAGTCTGAGTCCTGATAATATATTTCCTCCAAGTCTTTGCCATGGCAGCTCTACCACCTCTAAACAACTACCCCCCCCCCCCCCAAAGGAAGACTAGAGACTGGCTAGTAGTTATTTAAAATTGCCAGTCAAGCCATGACTGGGAGTGTGTTGCCACTGCCACCTTCAAGGCTGATGGCACCATGGATTTCTGGTTGGGGCTGATAATGTTGGCTGATCTCTCTTCTTGTCCCTTGATTCCTTTTTTCTTTAAGTAGCAGGAAATCCTATGCTACATGGCAGTATTTCATCAAACTGGTAAATTAAGAATATTTATTGTAATGTACGACCAGCTATAGCTGATTCCTTTATTTTAAATATGTCAACTAGAACCAAGAAAACTCAGTGAATACAGCTGTATCACACACCCACACACCCACCTCTTTCAAAAGCAGAAGACATCCTGTTGACTTATGAAGCCAAAAGAACTTTTTTTCTTAAACAGTTATCACAGAGCTTAACAAAAATTTTAAACAGATTGAGGAAGACTGTAACCAAAGCATCAAATGAAAAACCAGAAGATGACAAAATATGCTAGTCACAATCTTCTGAATAATTATATTACTTTCCCAGTTTCAATTATGCAGAAAAAAATCTGCATATAATTGACACAGAGAATATTCCTAAACAACTTGCAGTATAGTATTTATGGAGATCTTCTTTCTCTGCCTGCTGATTTTTTAAATTGGAAATAGCATGTGTATAAAATACCCATACAAAAAAGTCCAGGGCTGGAGAACCAGTTTAAATATTGCTACTATTTAATTTCTGTTTGTAATTGTAAATATAAAAGATGACATTCTACATAGAACTAGACAAAAAAAAAAAAAAAAACACCAGAAAAATCCCAGTATATAGTGGGGTTGTAAAAAGAATATAGTACTTATTATCCTGATTTTACTAAGGAGGTTGCAGACAAGAGAAGAAACTTTTCCAAAGCATACAATTTTGCTAAAACTGCACAGCTTCAGTTTAGAGATATGTGGTTCCTGTTACATTTTCTGTTAACTATCAGGAAGAAGTAAAAAAGTTTCAAAATCAGCTGGGGCTTTTTAAAAATGGGACTTAAAGCTGATACTTCTGTTCTTTTATCTATTGACGAATAATAAAGTGTCATCGTTCAATCCTAACCAGCAAAAGCTTTAATATATAAACAAAACCAAAAAAAAAAAAAAAAAGCCCAACCCTTTTTGGATATTAAGAATCTTTAAGTTTTATTACTGGGTGATTTTCCCTCAATCCTCAAGAAAAGCAATTTCATGTAAGTTTAAGAACTTAAAGAAATTGGACAAGATTTCTTTTAAGGGATTGGACAACCATTTGAATGGTAGGATTTCCTACCTGAGCAGGGGGTTGGACTAGAAGACCTCTGAAGTACCTTCCAACTAAGTTATTCTATTCTAAATTTGGAAATAAACTGCAAAAGGGTGAGTAGAACATTAGTTTTGGAGTTCTTAAATGGACTAAGGGGCCAGATTGAATAAAGTTATGAAATAACACCTGGTTTGTTTAAAATCCTCTTAAAATAAATGAGTATTCTGAATTTAGGAGTAAAACATTCTTTCACTGGCAAAATGTTATGGATTAGAGAAAACATGGTAAGAGAGACCTTGAAGGCTGACTACTAGAAGCAACTGGAAAGAACTAAAGATTATAATTAAAGAAGACCCAATAGTATAGAATGGAGTCGGTGAATTTTAAGCGCAATACAGAAATCTTCTTGTTTAACTAGTAAGGGGTACAAACAATATCAGTGATTAGTAGTAAAGTTAATAACCTACCGTGGAAGGGACTGGATCTTGAAAAGCAAGGCTCATTTCATGGCAGTAAAGGTACAGAAGTAATCTTTCACATTTCTATATATTGGGACAGAAATAACTAAAATTATTTGGGACATCAGCTTGAAAGTTTACAACAGTATTGTAAACTATATAAACATGCAGAGCAGTCTTTAACGCAATAATAATGAATTTGCTCATTATTATTATTTTTGAATCCCTTGATGTATTTTTTCCTACTGATATTTTTAACTTAATATTCACACATTTGAAATATATCATTTGAACTTCTGAGACAGGTAACAGACCTTGTAGATCATCTAATCCCACCCCCCCCCCCGCCCAAGCAGGAGACCCTACACCATTTCTGACAAATGGCAGTCCAATCTCTTCTTGAAAGTCTCAAGTGATGGCGCTTCCACAATTTTTGAGGGCAAGCTGTTCCATTGGTTGATTGTTCTCACTGTCAGAAAGTTTCTCCTTATTTCCAGGTTAAATCTCTCCTTGTTCAGTTTCATCCATTATTCCTTGTCTGGCCTTCGGGTGCTTTAGAAAATAGCTTGCCCCCTTGTGGCAGCCCCTCAAATATTGGAAGACCGCTATCATGTCTCCCCTGGTCCTTCTCTTCACTAGACTAGCCAAGCCTAGTTCCTGTAACCGTTTGTTGTATGTTTTAGCCTCCAGACCCCTAATCATCCTGGTTGCTCTTCTCTGTACTTTTTCTAGAGTCTCAACATCTTTTTTATAATGTGGTGACCAAAACTGGATGCAGTACTCTAGGTGTGGTCTTCCTAAGGCTTTATAGAGTGATATTAGTACCTCACTTGATCTTGATTGTAATCCTCTGTTAATACAATTTAGGATTGCATTAGCTTTTTTGGCTGCTGCTGCACACTGCTGGCTCATATTTAGCTGGTTGTCCACTAAGACTCTAAGATCCCTCTCACAGTTACTGCTATTGAGCCTGGGTTCACCCAGTCTATATGTGTACTTTTGGTTTTTCTTGCCTAAGTGTAGGACTTTACTTTTCTCTATATTGAAATTCATAGTGTTAGATACGGCCCAGTGTTCTAGTCTATCAAAATCCATCTGGATCTTGAGCCTATCTTCTTGGGTGTTAGCTATTCCTGCCAGCTTAATATCATCTGCAAATTTGGTAAATTCCCCTTCTATTCCCTCATCTAAGTCGTTAATGAAGATATTGAAGAGTACTGGGTCTAAGATGGAACCTTGTGGCACCCCACTGCTTACTTCCCTCCATGTAGACTTAGACCCATTAAGGACTACTCGTTGAGTACGGTTTGCCAGCCAGTTGCGAGTCCATCTAGTAGTGGGGCTATCTATTCCACTTTTTTCTAGCTTACTAAGAAGTAGGTTGTGGTCTACTTTGTCGAATGCCTTGCTGAAATCTAAATATATTATGTCCATAGTATTTTGCTGGTCTACTAATTTAGTCACTATGTTGAAGAATGAAATAAGATTGGTTTGGCATGATCTGTTCTTAACAAACCCGTGCTGACTGCTAGTTATTACTTTACTTGTTTCTAGATGTTGGCAGATCTGTTTTATTATCTTTTCCAGTATCTTCCCAGTTTTTGACGTTAGGCTGATTGGTCTATAGTTTCCTGGTCTGTTTTTTTTTCTCCTTTTTTGAAGATGGGAACCACATCAGCTCTTTTCCAGTCCTCTGGTAGTTCCCCGGTGCTCCAAGATTTTTGAAAGATATGGTGCAGTGGTTCTGAGATGACCTCTGCCAACCCCTTTAAAACTCTGAAATGTAATCCATCAGGCCTCGGTGATTTGTGTTCATCAAGATCAGACAGGTGTTCTCTTACTATTTTTTTACTTAACTTTTATTTCTGGTCTGTCTTTTATGTTATGTTTTTGGTGGGTTGAGCTATAGTTTCTTTTTGCATGAAGACCGATGCAAAGAATGAGTTAAGCA